CCCATGGGACTCCAGGGGAGTAGACCTGGCCTCCCTCCCCCCATAGGGATCCATGGGAGTAGACCTGGACCCCCCCTTCCCCGTAGGGATCCATGGGAGTAGACCTGGACTCCCTCTCGAAAGTAAACAATAAGGGGACCAGCAATGCATACGACAAACATGGACAGATAAGAAATTGCCGCAAGGTTCACAAATTACAGTAAATAGACAATCATAAACTTGGTAACAGTGATGCTTCGTGACGTTTAATCCTTTTTTGTTGTTTCAAAACACAGGACGTCACCCACAGAAGATGACATCGACAAGAACAAGAGGTACGAACATCTCGAGGGTCGTTTGTTTCGATGGAACTCTTTATCAACCAAAATTCGAATCTCTGGTTGTCTTACTATATTCCATAATGACATCAATCTTATCCAAGCAGAAACCAAGGGGGAAGAAAAACTGAACCTAACAATAAACTCCAAAACCAAACAAAGGTTAGTGAAAAGGAGGGCCAATATTAAAACCTTTCCATAAAAAATAAAAAGAGGTGCATGCATTTATTAATAATAACACATTTCAAAACATATATAGAGGCCCATTTGCAACCAATGTACATAAAATATAATATATAACAATATCCAGGGCTTACAAAGTTGACTTTACGCGTTTCGGCCAAATAGGCCTTCTTCAGAGGTCATACATAAGTGGCGAGATAATTATATTTACATAAACACAATCGATAATATATACAGAGTATAAATTCAATGAGGACCATGAAGCAGATTGTTCAAAAGTAAAATCACCAGGCACAAGGTAAATATGCACATAAGGCCTTTAAAGTGCAATCACTAGCCCAGTGATTATAAATTTGTGGTCCAAAAATGTCCTTCTTTGATTGTGTTGTGTTGCCACAGCAATTTTTACCTTGTGCCTGGGTTTTGACAACAAACAAGGTAAACAAAATAAGAAGCAAACGGTGAGTGTGGCTGGATGACCATACTTCTGGGAACACGGGGCTGCGGCCTAATATGCTAATGCGCTGTGGTGTCAGGGTGTGGCCTAATATGCTAATGAGTTTTGGTTGTTGGGTGTGGCCTATTATGCTAATGAGTTCCTGCTGGGCTTTTTCTACAAAAAAAGCCCTGTTCTAGGGTATTCTTTCTCCCTCCTCTCATCATAGCATGTAGGTGAACACATTCTGTGATTTAAAAACAAAAGCCCTGCAATGCCTTCTATTAGGACTAACTGAAAAAAACAGCATGTAAGCTTTTGAGTTTTCCAGAACTCTTCGTCAGAATGTTGCAGGCTTGATATCAAGGCCTCATGTCTATACCCTCTATAGAATGCGGAACAGATTTGAATAGATACAGTGCTACTGGGTGGAGCTGGTATCATGCTATGCCTCTGGCATTCTGGAAAGCAGAAAAAAATGGCAGCCTCCAACGGAGAATACAAAAACCTGTCAGTGATCAAATGCCTCCAACACCAGTATTATTTTGTCGTGTGGCTCCTTGGAGCTGCGGTGGCTCAAGTGGTTAAGACGCTGAACTGCAGGCTGGAATGTCGGTAGTTCAGCAGTTCAAGACCCGAGTGTGCCGCATGACGGAGTGAGCTGCCGTCTCTGGTTCCAGCTCCTGCCAACCTAGCCGTTCGAAAGCAAGAAATTGCAAGTAGATACATAGTTACCGCTTTGGTGGGAAGGTAACAGTGTCCTGTGCGCCTCGGCATCTAGTCATGCCGGCCACATGACCACAGAAACGTCTTCGGACAGCGCTGGCTTTTCGGCTTGGAAACGGAGATAAGCACCGCAACCCTAGTCGGATTCGACTGGCTTTCGAGCAAGGGAACCTTTACCTTTACCATATTTTTCTTTGCGTTGGCTGGCGACCACAGTGTGGAACACTGAAGGCCATGATGACATGTACTTACTTAGATTTTTATGAGAAAGCAGGCAAATAGCTATGGAACTGTGGAGGAGCAGCAGCTCCATGTCTCCTGTAACATCTGCTTAAGCTCAAGCTGACCACTTTCCAGTTCTACCTTGTCCCATGCCTTTCTGCACATGGCCTGCAGGTGGCAGCAAACACACTTTAGAAATTAAGATCCGGGTGGTCAGCCGTCGGTCTGAAGCAGCAGAACCAATTTAGAGTCCAGTGGCACCTTTAAGACCAACAAAACACGAAAGTTCATGCTTTGAATGAAACTTTGTTGGTCTTAGAGGAACTAAAAAGGTAAAGGTAAAGGTTCCCTTGCTCGAAAGCCAGTCGAGTCCGACTCTAGGGTTGCGGTGCTCATCTCCGTTTCAAAGCCGAAGAGCCAGCTGTAGACATTTTTTCACTGCTCTTTTTCTTCTGCGGTCACAGGAACACATACAAGTAAATCATCATCATATTTTTTGTTTTTCACTCCCTGACCTTTGACCTCCTTGAGCCTGATACAGACACGCGTGAATGATGGATCCCGGTAGTCAGCCATGTTGGTCTGAAGCAGCAGAACCAATTTAGAGTCCAGTGTCACCTTTAAGACCAACAAAACACGAAAGCTCATGCTTTGAATGAAACTTTGTCGGTCTTAGAGGAACTACTGGACTCTAAATTTGTTTAGCTAACCAGTTTATCAGGATCTGTATTTAACAGGGTGCTGGAGTTGCCCTTAATCAAAACTGAAGGGCTCTTTTTGTAGCAGGAACTCCTTTGCATATTAAGCGACACACCTCTAATGTAGCCAATCCTCCAGGAGCTTATAGTAGCCCCTGTAAGAAGAGCTCTGTAAGCTCTTGGAGGATTGGCTACGTTAGGGGTGTGTGGCCTAATATGCAAAGGAGTTCCTGCTACAAAAGAGCCCTAGTTAGAATCATATGCCTTAGTACTGGATCGAAAGAATATGCAAAGGAGGTCCTGCTACAAAAAGAGCCCTAGTTAGAATCATATGCCTCAGTACTGGATCGACAGCAAGGAGAGCTTGATCAGTAAGTTTGGAAAGTTTCCTTGTCTTCATGCTCACAGCTAACCAGGTCAAATGGTCCTGAAGCAAGATTAACCTTGGTCCCGGTCACATGAGCGAGATAATCCGGGGGCGAAGCAAGGCTTTTTGCTCCGGAGCAAAATGAAGCATGGTATCGCGATCAGACGTTTTCCCCGAGGTGCCATGCTCAGGCCATCAGCCGCTGATCACACGGTGATGGTGAAGCATGGCAACAAAGCAGTACTGCGTTTGTGTGTGTGTGCGCATGCGCATGCACAGTTCCACGTTTGCACGCATACCACCGGATGCGACGGGATACCAGCACTTCCACGACTGGACGCCTGCCCGTGCCCCACGTTTTCCGGAAAATAATGCACTTTCCCCGGTATCTTTTAACTCCGCTTCTTCGGCCGGGTGATATGGGTTGCCGATGGGTGTGGGACACTTGCCAGATGTTTTCGTGTGATCACGCCTTTAAAATCCACCCGGAATTTGTCCCCGTCGCACGGCTAATTCTACGTAACAAACCCTTGTTTGTTAAATGTTCTGCAATCTTAAAATTCCAGTCAGGGAGCACTGAGACAGGCCTGAATCTCAGCAGAATTCCACCTTGCCACTCACTTGGTTTCAGATCTATGGATGTACCTGCACTTCGATACACTAGGCCAATGGCTGAGGACTTAACTAAACATGATGCAAGACAGCCATTACCAGACGTTTCTATGTTTTAAAGCTTAAAGCAGCCATGGGGGAGGAGAGCTGAATCACACTGAAAAAGCAGCTCTGGGGAGATGTTTAACTTTCCCCCATGCAATTTCCCCCATCTAAATCCCACCCATATAACCAATACTCCCACTAAGATGTGGAGTCTTGTGGGCAAAAATTCTGCTTTGTGAGCTACTGGCATCAAAGTTGTGAGCGAGCGATTTGGCTGCTGCATAAATTAGTTTGCTCTGGAGCCCTCCTTTCTGAGCTAAGGCAATAATCTGTGAGCCAGAGGCTAATTAGGGTTTCTTAAGCTATTCACAGTTACTTGACACCTTTATATTGAGAAGCTTTTGCTCCAGTGTTTCCCCCAAACACTCTAGCTACACTTTCTTTGAGCATTCTCTAACTCTTTCGGTTTCCAGAAGGCAGGTACACTTTCCAGTAGCCAAACCCCTTCTCTTGAAACACCAGTACTCGTCTTGAGTTTTTAACTTAAGGTTTCTGCAGGCAGTTTCTAACCACACCACACCAGGGCAGGGATCTCTGCCCTCTTCAGAGCTATCACCCTGTTTAGACTGAGTAGGGAAATTCCTTCTCTCTCTAGAAGATCTATCCCCTTTCTTTGGCCCGAATGGGAGTCTCCATCTAACAACCCACTCATCATTGCCAATTTTCCTCCAGTTCTCCTGTCAGTCAGGGCTGAATTCTGAAACTATTAGTATTCGATTCTCCTCAGCTAGGACTGAAATCGGACTGAATTCTCCTCACCATCCAGTTCAGAAGTCCCTCTCTGCTCAGCTGATGCTAACCAATCAGATTCCTCGGAGCAGTCTGTCATTCATATAGACACTGACATATCGAAATCATACAACCAGTCCATGAATTACCATGCAGATCTTTTTCTGGTATATGGTTTTCCTGAAATTACCTGTTTACATGGAATCCTTTCTCCGGTTAGCCTGAAATTTGTCAGGCAGGATCCCTTGAGCAAAAATTATAGTTCCTGGCATTTTAATTCAAACTGGATGGTAAATATTTCCTAACAAAGCAATGGAAAATGAAAATAAAAACAAATAATGAATGAAACACAAAGAAATGAAACTGTTGTACAAAGAACTCATTCAGCACTAATAAACTAATTTGGCTGTAGTGGTTTCCCCCTGTATGTGCCAATATTGGTGAAATGGCCTTTCAAATCAAGAATAAATGAAACATTTATCCCATTAAAATGAGCTTCTACTCTGATAGCAAGTCAGGTAATTGCTGAAGGGGATATGTAGTCAGGGTACAGCTGTATCTGTGGTGAGAATATTCCACAGTTTCTGGAGTAAATTCATAAATACAATTAGCAAGATTATTGAGTGCACATTGCCGCAAATAATTTTGAATTATGACAGTGATACCTTTGTTCTAGGGACCTCATATTTTCTCCTTCCTTTTAACAGTGGCTAAATTTGTTTTGGATAGAAAATGCAATTCCAAGCAGGATCGACGGTCACCTCCAGGTTGGAATATTGCAACTCGCTCTGTGCAGAGGTGCCCTTGAGGCTGCTTTGGAAACTTCAGGTTACACAGAAAGGAGCTGCTAAGTTCTTGACCAATACATCTTGGCAGGGGTCATTTCGTAGAAAAAGAGGTGCAGGAGCTCATTAGCATA